TATAAACCGCCCACCAAATACCGAACCCTTAGCAGAACATTATGTTTCAACGACCTCTCCTCGCAGTGGCAATTCTTCGTATTTTTCTGACTTATCAAAGACTACAAATATGAAAAATGATAAAGTATCTGATATTCAATTTAAATCAAATGATAACTTTCCATCTTATAATGATACAAATTCTCAAACTATTATCGAATGTGATGTAAATGAAAAAATAGATACAAATCAATGTAATAATCGATTAAGTACATGGGATGCTGCTTCAATAACACCATCAACAGAAAACTCAATTAGTCCAGAACCTGAAATTAAACCATTGACAGACATTAATATCAATCTTCATGATATTAAACCAGGTAATATTTTTTTTTTGTTCATTTTATTTCTATATTATATTGTATCGTTTTTATATATTTATAATTAATATCATATTTAATTAAATACATATAATAATTAATAAAAACTACTTTGTTAATTAATTTTATTGTTTTTTTTAATAGGTATTAATCCACCTATAACAGTAATTGAAGAAAAAAATGGTATATCTGTAGTGCTTCATTTTGCTCGAGATAATCCAAGAAAAGATGTATTTGTTGTAGTGATTACAACAATGAGTAAAAATTTGAAACCACTTACTAATTACTTGTTTCAAGCAGTGGTGCCAAAAGTATGTTTTAAATGTGTTTATTTAATAATTGTTATTATTGTTAATACAAATAATTAATAATTTTAATTCGATTAATTTAATGATAATTTTTGAAACTAATAATATTTTGCTTTTAGAGATGTAAATGTAGACTTCAATCACCTTCTGGAACAGAATTACCTGGTCATAATCCATTTTTACCTCCATCTGCAATTACTCAAATTATGTTAATTGCAAATCCTACCAAGGTAAAACAATGAAAATTATCTTTTGTATTTCAAACATTTATCGATTTTTATAAACATAATTTTTATATTTAATCACATAATTTCTTCTACAGGAAACGGTATCGTTAAAATTTATGTTAAGTTATACTATGGATGATGAAACTTTCACAGAAATGGGTGAAGTAGAAAAATTGCCTTTAGTTTAAAGTACTTAAAGTGTAATTATAATATAAATTAAATTCAAGAATTACAGAGTTTAATAGCCAAAAGAAGAATATATTGTTTTTTAAGATATGAATTTTCAAAAGATATTGTTTCTTTTAGTTTATTTCTCAGATTGTAATTACAGTTTTATCTTTATTATTATATTCTGAGATAATATTAATGTTATGTAGATATTTATAAGTCATGTTGTGATTACATAAACGAAAATATCAACAAATCTATTTTAAGATCGAAATACACGAGAGAACATATTATAATCGTATACAATAAAGATCAAAATAAATATAATAATTGAAAAATAGAAAAAAAAGAAAGGCACAAACAAACAAAAAAATACGAAAATACAGATAATGTACTATAAATTTAAACTTGAAGTGATATTCTTCATTATTAAAAATGTACAAATGCGATATTTTATTTAAAAATTTGAAGAAATATATCATTTGTTTAGGAAACAGAAAGTACTTCGTCACGAAAAGCAAGAGCAGTAACTGCTTTTTGATGGCCCTGATATTCTCGTTCTACTGCTCCTGTTGATACATTCCATAATCTTGCAACACCATCGGACGAAGCTAAATTGAATAAAATGTTAAAATTGAATCTAAAACAAAATATAATAAAACATAAAAAAAAAAATTATGTTGTTACCGGTAAATATATATTGTGAATCTGCGCTAAATGCAGCATCCCAGACCCATCGTTTTGCTTCATGTTGAAGTACTTGTACTTCAGAAAAATCCGTAGTTTTCCAAACTCGAGCAGTCTGATCAGCGGACGTAGTTACTAAAAGTCTGGATAAGATACACATTTTTTATCTATTATAATGTTATAATGTTAAATCAAATTTTACATAATTTTATTACTTTACTATATATAATTAATATATTATATTTACGTGGAATCAGGACTAAATTTACATCGAAGCGCATAACGTTTATGTGCTGAAAGTTTGTGACGAGGATTAAGACGCGTAGGCTCGTCACCTACTCCTCCTGTAAGTGTCCAAATATAACAATGACCTTTGTTATTTACTGCTGCCATATATGTACCATCTTGATCAATTGCAACATCTTGCACAGATGCTTCGGCTTCTGGTATCTTTACATAAGGAATAATTACTCAAATAAATAGAGATAGAATTAAAATTAATTAATTGATGGATTACTAACAAAACAAAATATTTCCTAAACATACTAAATGAGTTTATTTTATATATTTCATACCAATTGTTCATTATGATCTGATCGTAGATCCCATAAATGAATAACACCACTTTGATCACCAACAATAAGTTCTGCTTGATTTGGATGCAAACAAACACAATTGACAGGAGCTGATACTTGAAATATTCGTTGGCATTGAAAACTACTTGACCTATAATATTATAATTGTTTTTTTGTTATTGTTATTATTATTGATATTATTTTTACATTTTTATGCAAAGAAATTAGTACGGTATTTAAATTGTATTTGTATTTGCCTGAGATCCCAAATCCGAGCTGAACAATCTTCACCACCTGTATACATCCATTTACCTTCTTCCTACATATAATAAAAAATATTTTAATAATCTTATAATTAACGTCTTGAAGATAGTTTTACAATTAAAAAATAATATACTATTGATATCAACAAAATATAATTATAAAATACCTGGAAACCCAAGCCTGTAATATTTTTTGATACTCCTTCATAATTAATAATTGGATTTGGATTGTTTGAAACTAAATCATACATCCTTATATGTTGATATCCAGCAGCAGCTATCAAATATTTATCAGGAGTAATATCTAAAGCATTAACTTGCTAAAAATAATAAAATTTTAAATAAGATTAAAATAAGATTTGAAGTAGAATATATCGTTCAATATTAAAATTTTACCGAATCTGTGTGTTCCGCAGTACGTTGACAAACTCCAGTATGAGGTTGCCATATTTTGATAGTATGATCATAACCACCTGTTACAAGAATAACTTGCTCGTTGCTGTTAGTGCCATCCACAGTCATTTGTTAAAATGTATGAAATAATTTAGAAATGAAAATTCGATAATATTCGTAATATTAGGTATAAATTTGTAATATTTTGTAATTTTCTGTTAAAATTTCATATATTATATCCTTCGTTTTCTTTACTTTCTTTACTTCTGTTGTTACAGAATTTTGTTTAATGAGTTTATTTTTTACTTCAAATAATAATATGTTGACTATAACTAAATGATTAATTCGTAATGTATCTTTAAATGCATCAATTACTAGAATATATCATATGACAGGTTATAAACACAAAACATGGAGTAAGAACACGGTATACGAATACGTTATCCCCTCTACCAAAAGAAAAAAGTGGTTCAATTCCCCTATTTCCATAGGAGGAGAATACGTGACGTCATATTATCCTCCACTGTACATTAAGTAAGTCACGTGATCAGATTTTCGTCAAAACACGTTTGTCTAAATGTAACAATAAGACAATATGATATTAGACATTCTTCTTCTATAAAAATTCACTGCAGGAAAATTGAGTCATTTTTAGTAGAGGGAATAGCGAAACATGTTTAGTTGATAACTCTAATCTAAAATAAGTTATGGAAAGGCATACACATCTATATAATGTCACTAAAACAAGACAATGAATTGTTCTAAAAATTATTATGTATGTATATATTACATACATTATTATGTATGTAAAAAAAGATACAAAATAAAAATGGGATGAATATTAAAAAAAAAAGATACAATTTGATTTCTTGAAATATTTTTATTTTTCAATTGCAGTGTTGTTATTTTTTAAATATAACATATTAAAAAATTTATTTAAATATATTCATCATTTTATCAATTTTCTGTTTTCTTTTTTAAAATTAGAATATGTTTACATTATCGATTAATATTAATAATTTTTGTTAAAAATATATATTGTATAGATAGAGAAATAAAAAATATATAAAATGATTCAATAACAATTACATTTTTTAGATATAACTCGTATCATTACATATATTTTTACGATACGATAACGATTTCATTTCATGGAAATTTCTATTAATACCAAAGAACAACTTACTTTGTTTGATCATAGATTAAGATATTTGTTAAAGATATATCACTTTTGCTTTATCGAACATTTGTGTACACATAGTATATGATTAGAAAATATAAATATCTTATACTTTTACATTTTTTTCCTGTTTTATAAAACAGGAAAAATTCACATATTTGATAAATTAAAAAAATTAAAACATTAGTCATGGAGTGATACAATGAATTTGTACACTTCTAAGATTTAATGATATAATAATATGCTATAATAATAATAATAATAATAATAATTATTAATCACTTTTAATAATTAAATAATAATAAAATTTCATAATAATAATAATAATTATTATTATAATAAATATAATAACAATAATGATAATTATTATGATAATTGTAATAATAATAACATAATAATAATAATAATAATAATAATTTGTATTAACAATTATATTCAAAAAATTAAAGAAAAATATATTACATACGCGCGCGCGTGTATTCTCTCATTCATTCATTCGTTCGTTCTTCATTATCTGTATAATTTTATTTTTTTCACATATCTAAGTGTTTACAATTCATAAAAATATTCAAATTAACAGAGTTTTATTATTAATTCCTGATGTGATATGAAGTAAAGAAAGAAAAAAAGATGAGAAAAAGTAAAAGTTTGTACTTTTATCAAAAATCCAAATGTTTGAATATAGAAAGCGTAACTCGAAAGAGTATGTGGTATATTTCGAAAGCATTGAATAAGCTAAGCTGCGTGAAAAACAATTTGCAATTTAAGAAAAACCATTTTATTATTATTTTTTCTCAAATTTTTTGTATTTTAATTAGATAAAAACTATAAAAATATTTAATGAAATAAAGTTCATGACTATCGCGTACTCTTCCGAACATTTAACAAATTTAGCAACATTGATCGATTTGATATTTGGCGATATTGTATTGGCGAGTTATGTATATATATATATATATTAATAAATATAATTGTATGTGTGCGTAGTAAACATATACCAAACATACATCAAACCATATTAATGAACAGATATGAATATAATATTGAAAATTAAATTATGCATTCCGCTTCGATGGCGGTATTAAATGATCTGGTAATTCTGCAGGTAGATCATAACCTTCGAGTTTTACATTAATTAAATGCATTGCTAAAGCAAATTCATCAGAATCTAGAAATCCATCCTTATCTATATCGGATAATTTCCAAATTCTTCCAAGTACATTGTTCGGTAATTTTGATTTTACCATTTCCGATTTAGCCGCTGAAAATATAATCCCAAATGAATGAATATTATTAATATTTAATAGCAAATAAAAAATATAATGTAAAAATTTTTTATATTTGTATCTTCATATTTACATTCAAACTTTGAATAATGTTATTTACAAGAAAAATTTGCTATTTATTTGAAATTTAATGAATTATAAATATAAATTACAAACATGTAAATATAAAAACTTACCTGCACCTGTGATTTTTCCATCGCATGGACCGAGTTTTTCGAATATTGCATTGTATTTATATCTTTCCTTATTAACTATCCATTCCGGTTCACCTGCACCAGCATCGATACCTTCCCCTCGTTTATATCCAAATGGACTCACTTGATCAACTACTCCTTCAAATGCACCGCCTATGATACAAAATATTATATCATATAATCTCATAAAGTATCTACCATGTTATTTGAATATAAATAAAAAATATAAAAAGATATAGGAAAATCTTTTTAGTGAACGATCGCAGCAATCTATGTAGTTACAACAATAAAATAAAAAAAAAAATTTTATTTCTCTTGATTATTTTTCAGAATAATACGAAAATAAAGAAATATAAATATATATATATATATGATTATAAAAGTGATGAAACTGATGAATATATTTTAATGAAATTTAATTACATAAATTTAATATATTAATAAATAAAATATGAATGTATTTTTATATTTTTCATATATTTCATATTTGTATAATAATATTTATATATTGATAAAAGATAAATAGAAAAAAATACCTTTCACGAATAAATCTGATGTTGTACCAATTTCTTCATGAGGAATCATACTCATAAGTTGAGCAATATCTTTAACAAGCATATTATCGACCACTTCTAACAATTTAGGTTTCAAAGTATTGAATTTACTAAAATCATGATGAGCTAAGAATTCTTGCATTTTTTTCAAGTCTGGAAAATCACCAGGTGAAATCTGTTGTTCTCTTTGAATTTGATCATAAATTTGACCCAAATTTTTTATAAGTTCCTTTTTTTTAGTATCTTTACCAAACACACTAGGCATATCTTTTCTTAAAGCACTGATTATATAAGCATGCACCTATAAATTGATATACAATTAAATTTTATCATTAATCTTTGAACAATATGTAACTGATAATGAATCGATTAGTAATAAGGTGCGGTGATTGATAGCGGATAGGTTATCATTTTTACGCTTGTTTACCTTTGCTAACCGTGCACGTTTAATCAAGTCATTAAGTTTTCTAAGCGCTGCATTTTTAGGTAATGATTGCATATCTTTGAATAAATCTTGTTCCTCATCTTCAAATAATCTGAAAA